AAAGAGGAAAACACCAATCGGAAGGCACCAAGCCTCCAGGCTTCTCCCTCAGCAGAACAGAGCTGAGCTCCTCAACGATCAAATGGCACCTCTCCTCACATTGCTCTGCTGGCATGCAGCTCCACTGCCTGAATGGTTGTAGCAGTCCCACAGTCACCTAGCAAGCTTCCTTGGCACAGTAGGGAATCAAACTGGGTCTCTCAGATCCTAGTCTAGCACTCTGACTACTACACCATACTGGCTCTTACAGGAAGACTATTAGTCACTCTGGTTCAGTGCTGTCTACTCTGAGTGGCAACAGCACTCCGTAGTAGAAGCAGAACTTTTACAATACTTGAGATCCTTTCAAATGGAGACGCTAGGAATTGATCTTGTGGTCTTCTGTACACAAAGCATGCGCTCTCCCTCAGAGCCACAGCCTCTTCCCATGTAGTGGGTACATCAAGTTTGGCTGTTGTTGTAGTAGATTGATGTCTGCCTTCTAGAAAATCAACAGAGAAATTAGAAAGTGCTTACAAGACAAACAGCTTGAGATAACTCATGCAAACAAGCTCAGTGATATTCTGCAAAGGAAGGCTAAATAAGCAACAGAACTGAATCACTGCTGACCTCCTATGTGAGAAATACCTTCCAAATACCAGTCAGCCCTGTATTTGACCAGGCAGTCCAAGTTTTTCTGGGTCAGGTACAGTGCATATGCCAAAGTGAAGAACCAAAAGAAGTCTTCCTCTTGTATTACTGAACTCTCATTTTTACTGTGGGCATGAATACAGTAATAAAGATTTAATAATCAGTCTCCCGATACTTCTATGAAAATAGAATGACACTCCTCCACATTCTTCACAGATAGGCTGTATAACATTCTACTTGTTGCAAGTGCAACAGTATTAGTGGTAGCTGTCATTTTCCACCTGTTGTTCTGTGTCCTAGTGTTTTTATACCATAAGAGTAGTGCAGGGCAATTTATAATTCATGTTAGTATTGTCAAGTCCCATTTCCATTCAATGTGACATTTATGAAGTTGCTGCTCTGCATATTTGCTGCTCTGCCTTAAAAATGGTTTGGAAAGATTAAAATTTTAAAATAGAGGCTGAATTGGGTCTTTTAAACATTGTTGGTGGGATTGTCCCATCATTGCTAATTTTTGGATAAAAATTGTGGTCCTAGTTAATAAAATAATTGTGTAACTCCTAAGACAACTGAACTTGTCCTTTTGAATTACTGGCCAACTTTACAGTTAACTAAGCAAAAAACAGAATTAGCTGCACTATTATTAATTGCTGCAAAAACTCTGATTGCCCAGGTTTGGAAAACTAATAAAGCACCTACGATCCGCCAGTGGTTCCTTAAGATGTGGAATTTAATTATAATGGATAAACTAGCTTCACAAATTTTGATGGCAGACCTTATGCCAACGAAAAATATATTTTTAGAGAAATGGTTTCCCTTTTTTGATTATGTTAATAGTACAGAAAACAAAAGTTGTAACCTTCCAAAGAAGTATATGGATACAGTTGTTTATTAAATGAGTTGGTATTGTTGTTAATAATGTTTATTATTTAATATGTATAACTGTTTAAATCATATTATTGAAATTATTAAGTCAATATCTTTTATACTAGAGAATTATATTTAAAATGGTGTTTTGTTTTGTTATTGTTTATATGAAAAAGTTAATAAAGTTTATATAAAAAAATAGAGACTGAATTCAGGCATCATAAACAAACCATGGGAGCCCTCCCGGTCACACGAGGAGCATTGGCACTTACATATTGCCTCCCCTACCCATGCTGAGACTGAAAGATTGTGTACTTTAATCAGCAAATTGGCTGCCTTAACAAACTGTTTCTTGCCTACAAACTCAGATTAAGACTACTGGTTCTAGTTCTGAGAAATCACAGTTTGTTAAATGCCTGTCATGACAAATTGTGATTTGTTCTAAGCCAGAATCTCTCTTCAGTCTTTGCAAGTGAGGGAAAGGCAGAAAGAAGCCTGCCAACCCAAGGACTTCTGAAGTACACTTCTTGATTATCTGAATTCATTCATACGGTGAAAAGGATGCCCAAGAACTGTCACCTTTTGCTAAATTTTCAGCCATTTTTCATGAAAGATGTCTGTAGAGATTATTCTGTCGATTTCTGATTTAAACTAATCTTTTCTGTTCTATGAAATGCATCTTTTCATTACTTTAAGACTACTTAGAAAAATCCATGATCAGCTGTTTCCCTTCTGTCTCATTGTCTGGATGATAATTAGTTTCTCATAATCGCACCCGTTCATGTCACCACCCAAAAGAAAAGTTGTAGCTGAAATGAGAGCTTTCATTGGGGATGTCTATCAATGCATATGGGCATATTTCTGTTATTGCTATGGTTAGGTGATGAAGTGATTTGAAACCAGTCATCAGTCTCTTCCTAGGAATAATGATAAGTGATTTATAAAGTTTTTCAAGAAGTGTTCAGAAAAGGTTGCTTGTTTTCTGAGAGTTCTCCATCAGTTTTGAATGTTGGCACATGTACACTGCTATGTGCATTCAGATTGTTATATTACTCCCTCAGAATTTTGTTTAGTGCCATTTGCATTATTACAAGTGATTTGAATATGGATGCTGAAGTTCTGTGGTTTTAGAGCAATGTATATGATCATGTAGAATGGAATAATTTTCCTTTTAAACTATGTGGCCGTTTTAGAAGTTCACATAATTTCAAAGCAATTAGACAGTACGAGTTTAAAGAATTTCTGCATACATGTCTAAAAAGCACGTGACTTTCAGTCTGCTCAGTGCTGTTTCCTTATGCAGGGAATCACATTTAATGTTCTGAACCAAAGGAGAACTTATGAGGAAATGGTGCTTATTCATATTGTGTATTACAAAATTTAGCATGATCACTCATTTGGATCAAATATCGCTTTGCCATTAGAACTACATTTATTGGATTTATTGTTTATACCCTTTTGTACAAGAAACTGTTATGCAACGTAAGCTGAGGACTCATTGTCTCAGACTTTCCTCCAACGTCTATCTCCTGTCTTTCTTTGCCTTCCCACCTCCAACCTTTCTCAGTTTCCTGTCACCTGCCACTTTTCCTTGAGACCTTCCCTCCAGCTCCCATTTCCTACTCCTTTAATCCATTTGTCTTTCCTCTATCCATTCTATCTTTGCTTCATGCCCCCATGCTTCTTCTTGTCTTTCATACCCTGCCAATTCCTCTTTCTCCCCTAACTCACATCTAGGGATGTGCATTTTTTTTTTTTACCGATACTTTTTGGTTCAGGTTTATTGGACCCGAAAAATTTCAGGATTCTTGAAAAATCCTGAATTTCAATACCGGTACAGTATTTTTTAAAAAAGAAATCTTGGGTTTTTTAAAGTCCAGTAGACCCAAGGAGAAAAAATGGTTAAAAAAGCCAGTCCAATCCTGGGGCTCACTTCTCACGGAGCCTGGTTTACACTGAGCTGCAGAAGAAGCCAGCCTGAAGCTGAGCCTGTGGGGAGCAATCTGCTCCTCACGGGCACAGCTAATCCTGGGTCTGGTTTCTCATGCAGCCCAGAAAACTGGGATGCAAGAGAAGTCAGTCCCAAGCTGAGGTGGCGGGGAGCAACGTGCTCCCGGCCAGCACAGCTGATCCTGGGGCAGGCTTTTCCTGCAGCCCAGTTCAAACTAGGCTGTAGGAGAAGCCAGCCCAAAGCTGAGCCGGTGGGGAACGAAATGCCACTTATTGTATTTTCTCTGTTTTATCCCTTTGCCAGTGGACCTGTTGGACTTAAATGCAACAAATGAAGCTTTCATACAGCACAAGTTGTACCAAAATGACCAGCTCCTCAGTGTTCAGGATGTGGTTAGCTGTCTCACTACAATTTACAGTGGGATGGAAGAGAAGCACAAAGAACTGGTGAACGTTCCACTCTGTGTCGATATGTGTCTCAACTGGCTGCTGAATGTTTATGATACGTGAGTACAGGATGCCAGTGTGAAGTAGACAATGTTCATAGTCTTACAGAATCAATCTGTGTGCACAACACTGTTTTTCTGTTGACATATGTGAAAAGAGGATGAGAGCTAAACACAGCTGGTTCTTTCTTTCTTATGGTCAAAACTAGAATACTACTGTGTATGCTGAGCTCTGTATTGTGGGTTCCCATGGAATGAAAAACTCTAACTGAAGAACTCTTGATTTTTCCCCTTCAGAAAAAAAGTTTGCTAGATCCAACAAGCTATGAATGGGAAATGAGTTCATGGCTCTCGCTCTCTCCCTTTTTTGCTATAGTCCCCAGAGCTCCCACCCCCACCCTGAGCATTCTTCTAAGGACTGGGAACCCTAAAGAACCAAGTGAGGTGTAGCATGAAGTCTGCATTTGAAGGGAAATCAGCACAGTTTGCAGAGCTTTGGTCCTGTTTGCAGATGAGCTCAAACAAGAGGAGATGGAGTGATTTCTGCAGATCTTCTCCTTGAGCAGCAGCTTCCAATACCACATATTGTTCTCTTCTCAGAAGCCATATTTTGGGGAGCTCAACAGGAAAGTAGATCCATTCTATGAGCTGTTTTTGGTTTACTGAGTCCAACCTATAATATACATATTGCAGTTCTAACATATCCACGACCTTATGTCAGTTCATCCAACTGTCTGTATGCTATGTTCACGGGTAAAAAAATGAGAAGGAAAATGCAGTCAAATGTAGCTTGTGTAATGCATCAAATAACATACATTAAAAAGTTGCTAACTCTATATCAAGATAATTTCATTGCACAGTTCTCATTTGATAGGGCTAGAGCTAAGGTCATCCCAGTCATTTTTACAACAACAATAATAGCAATCAGTTGATCAATTGTAGAAGTCAGTGAGATAAGCACACTATATATAACAATATATAAACTCATAGTTCGGTGAAATAAGTGGAATATAAATATAATTACTAACCTTTGAAACCACCACTGTGGTTAAGGTAAGCAACGTGACAGTAAAACAGAAAAGGGTTAAACTATTGCTTTACAATGGAACAACTTGAATTTTAAACTATTCAGTTTTAAAAGGAAATATTTTCATGGCTGTTATTTCTTATGAATACCACTCATAAGAAATGCTGGGCAGATTTTAAGGGTGTGACCACACGGGAACATCTGCCACACATCCTGCACCTGTTGGCAACCCAGCATTCACGCCTGTGGCGTGGTTAATTCTGCATGTGATCACAGTCTATAGATTGCTTTTTTGTTGTTTTGGGCACCAAATAAATTTCATGTGGTCTTGAGTTGAATAAGCTTCCATTGTCAACATTATTTTATGTTTTAGCTTTCTTATGGGTAAAAGGGCAGTTGTCTGATACAGTAAACAACCTACTTATGCATTTGAGTTTGCTAGAATTTCATAACTCACTGATTGCTTGCAAATTTGTCAGTTTCTGCAACATGCTACAGTAAATTGCACACGTTGTTCTGTCATTTACAACAGAGCAATAATATACTTGTGGTGTGAATTCAAATACTGTTATAACTCATCAGTAGGCTTTTTAATTTTTATTGTGTTGAACGTTTGAATGATAGGAGCAGTTGCTAAATTCACCAGCCCAATAGATACATTTGTATCCTAATAATTATTGTTTTTGTTTTAATCTGTTACTATGAATGTTTTTTTTAATTCCAATTTGGAAAATATAAACAACCTCCTTTTAATTAGCTCTTCATTGTTGACTGTGATCCGGAAGGATATGTGTAAATCTTGAAGAATTTTCTGAGATTTTCTTAGACTTTACTCTCCTGGTACTTCCTTAGACCTTTTTAATGCTAATGAACATAAAAGCGATTTGCCAATCTGTCCTAAAAGACGTTGAAAGAGAAGTTCTGGGACCAACATATCTTAACGACTGCTTCCTCCATATGAACCTACCCATCCACTCTGGTCATCTTCAGAGACCCTGTCTTACTATGTAATGTGCCTCCCAGTATTACAGTATTAATCAAGCTGTGATGCTATACTGTCAGGTGTCAATATGTAATAATTGATATTAAATGTTTGTACAGAATGGAAATATTTAGTGTCTATACTGAGGAACTTTATTTTCATTAAAATTTCAGTGGTCGTACTGGAAAAATCAGAGTGCAGTCCCTAAAGATTGGTTTGATGTCTCTTTCTAAGGGCCTTCTAGAGGAGAAGTACAGATGTGAGTATAACGTTCGTATAAGGGGGATTCTCTTTTTCTTTGAATATATATAGTTTAAGTATAATTCAGTAACACAACAGCAGTTGTATTAAATTTCATTAACCATTTCATTGTGGCAACATATATAGGTTCAGGTACTCATTCTGGCAAAGAATAAGAAAATTTGTTTTTCCTAACTTGTGTAGAAAGGCTGGAAACATTCATTGCTCTGTGTCGGGAAAAACTGCATACAAAGCACATGCATAGGTTTAATTTATGGAGCCTGCAAGCAACAAAGTGTGAGCTAGAGTTTGCTGGAGCAGTTGTCATTGATAACACTGCTGCAGACTAAGGTATTACCACTGTGTTAATAGGTGGTGGCTTTAAAGTCCTGTTTTGCTGTAAGGTTTGACCCTGTGAAATATTTCAGCTTCAGTTGCAACTAAGCTAGCATTCTAATAAAATCTATAAACATAGTGCCCAAGGCCATCACCAGGAGGTAGGGTTGCCAAGTCGAAAATCGTCGGGAGCAGGGGACTCCTGTCCGGCGTCCTATGCGCACGCACGCGCTGCACACACATCACCAGGAAGTGACGTTATGACACCAAGCACGCTGGGGGTGGGGCCATGACCATCCAAGGGGGAAAACATAGAGTTTCCCCCTCCGATGGTTGTGGCTCTACCCCCAGCGTGCCCGGCATCATAACGTCACTTCCTGGTGATGCGCACGCTGGGGTGGGGTTCCCCCGGGGCCCGATCCACCGGCGGCAGGGAATGGGCCTCTGGGGCGGGGGTTTCCCCACCCCCTGGGGGGGACTTGGCAGCCCTACCAGGAGGAAGCTCAAAAAGAACTAGGCCTTGAATAAATTCCTTTAGCAGTGTCTCTAGTTCATACATTTGGCTTCACACATCACTGCTTGTACTGCTTCAATCTGTGGTGATGGTCTAGAACCACAACTCTGTAAGTGAAAATATCTATTCTACCATCTTCCTGTACATGGTAGGATTAAAACTTAAAGCCATCTTTATCTTCCTGGAGACAAATAAGTCGTTATAATACCTATGCTTTGACATGAAATTAAAGTTGGTGTATAGTTCATTTTTATACCGAAGCTCTTAAGGAAGAATTCTCAAGGGAAAGTTTGAAGGAACTGCAAAATGCTACAACAATGAAGTAGAAATTAGTAAAGAGTGGGCAGAAGACATAATTTAATGGTCTTCAAAAGTGGGTGCAGATTATTTTGTTGGCCATTGGCCAAGTTACAGGTTAGTGTTTGCTCTTCATGCTGTAATCAGCTTCTTAGCCTGCAGAGATACAAACTATGTTTTAAAGTTATTACAAAGATCACATGTACTCTTGTGTTTAAAATTTATTCCATCAGTTACGTAAGCCACAAAGTATACCAAAGGCTAGTCAAAATGTTATATGGTGAAACAAACTTTTTTCTAAAACATAAAATGAAAAGCTTGATGATCAAACTTTCCCCTATTTTGTGAGTGTTCTAGACTGTGCCTTACCGCAGGTTACACAGTAAATGTCATTCCTTTGAGGACCTATTCTGAACACTATACTGCATCAAATAAATGGGCTGTATAGCCTCTGGTGTGTACTTTGTTTCAGAACAAGCAGAGAGCGCACGTTGTTGGGAGCATCTGCTATTGTTGTAGTGCTTTTCCATACCAGAGAATTGCCGGTTTATTTTAAGACCTGCATCCTTTAAAAAAAAGAAAAACTGTCTTCAATAAGCCTTGGATTACTTTACTTTGTTTTATTGTAAACCACATTTGAAGCTAATATGACTGAAAGGTGGACTACAAATATAGTTAATGGATAAATAAAATAGCTAATACTGATTTCCTTGGGACCCCATATTTTTGGTGACAGAAACCACCTAAAAAGAGAGGTGGAACATAAATAATTTGTATTCTATATCAAACATGCAGTGCAATGCAATGTCTATTTAAGGTGATTCCTGATATAATAGCCAACACTTCTACTACTTAAGATTTGCGGAATGTCAGTCTGAAATAGCTCTAGTTGGCATCTGTTTTTACCTCAACATTTGGTGTATAATACTAGAATATTCTAGATAATTCAAAGTGAAGGAGTGAAAACAATTTATGCAGAAACTCTGTTAGTATTTTGAGCCATGTAGGTTTATTAATGTAATGGGTAGAGTTGGGTAGAGGTTTATCTAAACAAAACCCTGCCAGTTGGTTTGACTACACTGTAGACTACACTGGTGAAATCACACCATTATTAAGAATAATTGAATTATTTTCTATGAGAGAGACTTTGATAGTTAGAATTACTTTGAAACAGGTAATTTTGCTTGTGTGCAAGATGGAATTACTACTGCTAAAATTGTTTTATAAAGGTAAACAGAGAAACATTATTTCTTACATGGATTCCAGATCTCTTTAAGGAAGTGGCAGGACCCACAGAAATGTGTGACCAGAGGCAGCTCGGCTTATTGCTTCATGATGCTATCCAAATCCCACGACAGCTTGGTGAAGTAGCTGCTTTTGGAGGCAGTAATATTGAACCCAGTGTCCGCAGCTGTTTTCAGCAGGTAATAAATTTGGCTCCACTTTCATTCTGGAAGGTTTAAATACATCCTTTATTGAGGCTTTTCTGTTACCAGGCCCGAATCAAGTTAGACATTTGGAGACACAACTTTCAAAGAAAAACCCCCCCAAATAGGTACATAAAACTATAGTTTCATCTAAATCAGTCATCCATATAATTGTTAAAGGCATTAATCTAGGAAAGATGGAGAAAAATAAATCGGCTTTTAGTTGTAGCACAGAAGCATAATTACTGCTTTCTAGAATGCCATGTGAAGGATTATAGTTTAAAAGATATTGCTGAGACTGACGTTCCAGGGCTCCTTACATCTGCAGGGGCTTCAGTATTTCCATGGAGCTTCCACATGAGCAAAGACTGAGTTCAAGCTTGTGCATCTACCTCTCTGTCTCATGCAAAATAAATCTTTGCATCTCCTCTAATGGATAATGTAGTGAATAATAATAGTAACTGATCTGTGCTTCTGTAACCTGTACAGGCTTGAGTATTATGGTATGCTGTATATGAAACAGCCCTTAAAGAAGTCCAGAAGCTTCAGTTAGCACAGCCTGCCTGCCTGTATATCAAGCTAATACTGATAGAGCTTCACTGGCTGCAAAATTGCTTTGGGTTCATTTTGAAGGTGTTGGTTTTTACCTTTAAACCTCTTTACCACCTTGAACCTATGTATCTGAAGAATCATATCTTCTGAACTGAACCCATGCCAATTTAGGTCAGCCCTGAGGACTGTTTTGGGAATCCCTTTGACCCGACCAGTCTGTTCTTTTGCACCTAAGTCATGTGCTTTTCCGGTTATGCCATCCAACCTGTACAATAATCTTTTGGAAAAGAACTGCAAGTCCCTTTTATTAAACAGGGCATGTAAGATTTTAATCTTCTGAAAGGCATTTCAGTGATTAATGGGTGTTAATTTTTCTGTTGGATGCTGTAGTTGTATGGGGTGGTTTCAGTGTTTTTGGTTGTTTTTGTTGTTGGCTAGTAGTTTTTAGCATAAGCTGCTAAGAACACAAGCAAAAGAGAGGGATACAGTTTTTAAATACATAAATAAAAGTAGTCCACTCCAGTCCTCCCTCATTGTGTGTTGTGTTGCTGCATTGATACAGTATGCACCTGAGTTAGCTTAGAAGCTCGGGTAATTGAAATTTGTCCTTCCTGCTTCATTGAATGTTATAGATGACAGTAGCATTTCCATGGCATATGTTTTAGTTACAGTGTAATTTCCTTGTGTTTTCCACATTTGGGAAGGGCTGAGGTTAGGGCAGTTTCTTTGCTTAAAAAGTAATGGGGTTAAAATACACAGTCAAATATTTTCTGATCTTGTTCTCATTCATCAGAACAACAACAAACCAGAAATCAGTGTAAAACAATTCATAGACTGGATGCATCTGGAGCCTCAATCAGTGGTGTGGTTACCTGTTCTGCACAGAGTGGCAGCTGCAGAAACAGCAAAACATCAGGCCAAGTGCAACATCTGCAAGGAATGCCCAATTGTTGGCTTTAGGTAAGCTGAATAAAATGCTGTGTCTTCCTAAAAGTTTAATGAATAAACTGACGGATTATAACACCCTGTTTCGTTGCAGCTGCCTGGCTGACATTGTATCTCAGTAGCTGAGTGATGGCAGGACTGTGTTCCCATCTTGATTAGCTTTTCTAAAGAAGTCTATTGCCTCTTGTATACCACACCACAATCTTGATTATGTGGGCTAATCTCTTATGGATGTATGACCACAACAGCTTTTGCTTCAGTGTTTCTAGTAAAGACTATGTTTCCTCTCACAAATCTAAACCTTGGCTTGATAGGAAATGCACTGAGACTAAACATTTTTTGGTTGAACAGTATAAATCATATAGGGAACAGAACCAAACAAGGCTCCCAATAGAATGTTTTGAGCTGAAAATGAACTATAAAGTCTTAATCACAGGAGAAAAGTTACAGGCCCAAAGGAGTGGTTTGGCAGAAGTTAGTTGCAGCATCAAAGATGAATGATTCCACCTCCTTCTGAAGGATTGTGACGGGGAGATTAAGTAGCCAGCCATCTGCACTATATACTTGTATGACTATGAAGTCTTGAAGAAGCATAATAACATATAGATTGCTATAGGATGCTATTTGCCTACAAGCTGAGATCAACATAAACACTATCAGTCCTTTAGAAGAAGAAAAGATTGGATTTGTACCCCGCTCTTCACTACCCAAAGGAGTCTCAGAGCGGCTTACAAAGTCCTTTCCCTTCCCCTCCCCACAACAGACACCCTGTGAGGTAGATGGGGCTGAGAGAGCTCTGACAGAAACTGCTCTTTTTCAAGAACAGCTGTGCCAGAACTATGGTTTGCCCAAGGTCATCCAGCCAGGTGTAAGTGGAGGAGTGGGGAATCAAACCCAGTTCTCCCAGATTAGAGTCCGCTCACTTAATCACTACACCAAACTGGCTTTAGATGTCACTTTTTCATTTTGTCCCCCCCAAATTAACAGAGCTGATGTTGGTGTGGCCTAAATAATTTGATGCATGATATTTCCCATTTCTGAAATTATTTGTTCTCAAAACTGTGACACTACAGGGCATGACCACCACATGTGAATATAATTGCCTCACTGATTACAGTTTCTCCAACATTTTTTATTATTTGTATTACTTATTCTTGCAAGATTTATCGGAGTAATATACAATGGTATACTACATCAATGATGTAGTAGTTTCAAAGAATTCTCCCTAAGGGCTATTGATACAGTTTTCCTTGTTTGAGTCATCCATAACTTATTCCATACATTTTGTTCTATTTTTATCCCAATATCATTTTCCCATATTATTTTCAGACCATTTGCCGTATTTGTATCTATTTCAGATTAATGAGAATATATTTTAGAGATGATTCCTTTTGCACTGTTCATATGTTGTATTAGCATTTGTTCAGATTTCATCATCCTTCTGGTAATAGTTACCCTTACTGTAGGATTTGCAGTTAAATAATGTAATTGATGAAGAAGAATCCAGTTCATTAAAACTCCTTGCAACTTTTCTTTTAGTTGTATTACAGCAAGGGGGTTCGATTTACATAAAAGTCTCTCATTCTGTAAATCCCTCTTTCTTTCCATTTAATATATTATTCTGGTTTACCTAAAAAACAAAAGTTGTGTAATGTAAAATGAAGCACCAGGGATATCTCTGAAATCAGTTTGTTTTTCCATTTAATCAAAAAATTTAACTAGAGGATAGAAAGGGATTCTCTATCCATTTTATATCTCTTACTTTTTCCCCTCCAAAAACAATTTTCTCAGTTAATTCCAGATGTTTCCCATTTGCTTCCATACTCACCCATGGCTTATCAGAAGTTCCATCCAGGTACGATAAACTAGGTTCTCCCCTCCCCCCTTGATCCAACCTCTTTTGTCTCATAACCTTCATTAGTCTTGGTCTTTTACATTGATATATAAAATTAATAAATGTTTTTGCCACCTTGCCAAGTCTTTTGGTGTAATTACTATGGGAAGTGTTTGGAAAAGATAATTTAATTTTGGTAGTGCCACCATTTTTATGGTGCTAGATCTGCCCATAATTGTGAAGTGTATCTGGGACCACTGCTAAAGTTTATTTAAATTCTTTGAGATAGTTACTCCCAGATATTTAAATGATTTATGGAATATTGGGAAACCTAGATCATTTTGAATTTCACGTTGTATTTTTGGTTTAATATTTATATATAATATTCCAGATTTTTTATAACTAATACATAATCCTGCGGTTATTCCCTATTCACTGATTTCTCTCACTAATTCTGGTAAAGCTTCTTTAGGTTTTACAGTTAACACTGTCACATCATCCGCAACCATATTAATCGTGTGTGCTTGACCATTTACTTCTAAGCCTCTAATATGTTTATCAGTCTTTATGGCGGTGTTCTAATGAGAGATCAAAAGGCAGGGGTGATAGGGGACATCCCTGTTTAGTTTCTCTGGTCAGGGGAAAATTTTCAGAGTCAAAACCGTTTACTCACACTCTAGGTTTTGATTTTTGATAGACTGATAGTATCACATTCATAAAATATTGCCCAATATTTAGTTTTCTTAAGAGTCCAATAATAAAATCCCTTTCCAAATATCAAATGCTTTCTGTGCATCAAGAGATACAATAGCTAGCGGCATCTCCTGTTTTTTAGTTATATGAATGGTATTTAATATTCTATGTATTGGGTCTGTTGTTTGCCTTTGGGGGGTATAAATCCCGATTAATCTAAAGAGGCATAGTCTTTTATTATAACACTCATTCTAGACTTGAAGACTGTAGTGAATAATTTTGCATCCTGGTTTACTAATGCTATTGGTCAGTATTTGATCTTATCACATGTGCTAAATGATGGATTAAATCCAAGAAGTCCAATATAAATAGATAGCTGCTAATTGTAACCATGCTGGACATCTCTTAGCCTCTGTGTCTACTTATAATGGGGTCAAACAGGGCTGTGTTCTGACACCTGGTCTGTTCAGTTTTTATATCAACTCAATGGTTAAGTGTTTATCTGACTCCATTTTTCATCTCCCCAAACTGGCCTTTAGACAGCTTTCAGCTTTACTTTATGCAGATGATGCAGTACTGCTCTCTCATAACAGTATAGATTTAAGGTGTATGCTGAGGACTTTTGCATCATATTGTTATAATGATATCTTGACCATTAACTATAGCAAGTCCAAAATTGTTGTATTTATCGGAAGATCTATGCACAGATGGATGATTAATGGGGATGCTATTGAACACTTGACATGTTTTAAATACTTAAGTGTAGTTTTTCATTCTTCCGGATCTTGGCACACTCAGATTAATAATGCAGTTGGGAATGCCCAAAGAAGTATCTGTGCTTTAAATTATACTAGAAGAGACCAATATGTTCCCTCAGCTATCCGTGTCTTTGTGGCCAAGGTTATTACACAGCTGCTGTTTGGGTCCCAGGTATGTTAACTATAGACCCCATTCAATAATTCAAAGTAAATTTTTGAGAGCCATACTTGCAGTCCCCCACTATGTTCCTAATACAGTTTTGTGTATAGAAGCAGATTTAATTTCTTTGGAAGCTTGTGCATGGATTAATTACTGGCTGAAGCTGGTTTTATCTCTTGTGGGTCCTGCACATTTAATATTAACAGACATCTTTCACTCAAAGTGAAAAAGGTTCCTTTCAGAGAAATTACAATCCATCAGTTAGTCTCCTAGCAACTTAATAGCCTTGGGTTATTCCAAATCTAAATCTGAAATGGAGCAAAGGATTTGGGACATTGAACTTAAACACTATTAAGTTTTGCTGCAAAATATCATCACCAGGAACAAGAAACTGGTCTGTCAGACTATTTAGCTAGTATGTTGATTCCCAAGCACAGGATAGCTTTCACTCTGTCCTGTCTCAATGTTCATTCATCTGCTTTATTTGAAAAGAGATACCATGGTGTGCTGTTTCATGAGCATTTATGCCCCTATGCTACTGGGGAAATTGAAATAGCTGGACATATGCTGCTGCAAAGCCCCTTCTATAATGATCTTAAACCTATCCTCCAAAAAAATCTTATCCTCCAAAAAAATCCTGGGAAGATAGGAGGAATGTTATATCTCCTTTCTTCTTTAAGTCCTTGACAGCTCTTCTAACTTTAGTTGATAACCTCTATCTGAGTGCAGATAAAGTTCAAGCCTCTCTGTTGCTCTTATTGGATTTATCTGCAACCTTGGAAACAGTAGATCATGCCATCTTGTTAAGGCCCCTGGATGCAGAAGTAGGTATCCTGGAATGTGCATTATTTATTTATTTATTTTTTATTTGATACCCTCTATCTGAGTGCAGATAAAGTTCAAGCCTCTCTGTTGCTGTTATTGGATTTATCTGCAACCTTGGAAACAGTAGATCATGCCATCTTGTTAAGGCCCCTGGATGCAGAAGTAGGTATCCTGGAATGTGCATTATTTATTTATTTATTTTTATTTCTATCCTGCCTTGCCTGACAAGCAGGCTCAAGGCGGCATACAATAATAATTTATAATAAAAACAGATAAAATTCAACAATAAAATATAAAGTGCAAATTACATACAAACAATAAAGTGCAGATGGCAATCATTGTAGTTGGCCCCATATGACTATCCCAAAGAAAGTACTAGTAATAGATGTTCAGTAGCGCACTCAGTGGCAGCTCCTAATCGAAGGCCTAAATGGAATCGAATGGAAGAGCTCCGTTTTACAGGCCCTGCGGAACTGTAAGAGGTCCCGCAGGGCCCTGATGTCCTCCGGGAGCTTGTTCCACCAGTGTGGAGCCACCACTGAGATCTGGTAATACCCAGTCTGGCATCCTTGGGGCCAGGGACAGTCAGGCGATTTAAAGTCCCTGATCTCAGTGCTCTCTGGGGAACATGTGGGGAAAGGCGGGCCCTCAGGTAGGCAA